TTACTATAGTAGTCTCATAGCCATCTTAGAAAACGTAGCTTTTTTCTCATATTCTGCAGATGTGATTCATTGTGGGCACAATTTTGTGAGCCTGCATTCACCTGTTTGTGGATTTAGTTACAGATTTGTGCCTATCTTTGAGAATATAGATCTTGAATATAACACCTGAAAATATGAATTTCATTTGACATAGAATTGAAAGAGTCACAAATAAATACTTAGAAACTGCAGTAATAAGTTTCATGTTTTAAATAGAGGATAATGAGGGAGAATATAAAATATGTTTAGTTTTGAAATCCTTTTAATTTGAATGTTACTTAATAAAGTTATGTATCTATAAAATTGAGCAGTTATGTGTAAGTCATTTGGTCAAACATTTAGTTCCCTTTATGATTTTGTATATGTATGTATACATATTTCTATATAAACTTATATATTTATATATATTTGTACTTTAAAAAACTGTGGAAAATTATTTCAATCAGACCATCTTGGAAGAATTTTGTTGGAATTGTCTTATGTAGAAGTGTGGACATTGCTCTAAGTACTGGAATGCATACCCAAAATAAATACGACCTCGGGTTTCATCTAAGTACTAATGTCCATCAAAGTCTAACGCTGTGTGTTCTGTTGGCCTCACCCCACTCTATGATCAACGGCTGTATCCCTACTGGCTCTGAGCCCTACAAAATAGACCTGTTGATCCACAGCACCACTTGGCCAAAGCATTGAATTGTGTGGATACAGGTTCTGTTTTACTAGGAGTGGCTGTCAGACTCCCTGAGCAGTAAATAGAATTTAATGCCTCTCCTCTTTCCTTCAATTATATCATGAGTTTAAATAAAACTATAATTGCTATTCAAGAACAGTTTGTATTTGAAGACAACACATGGCCATTTGTTAACATAATTTTAAGTATCAGGATACATGTACTATATTTTGGATATATACCACTCATGCAAAACACAGTGCCAACAGCACTGAAAAACACGAGATCTAAGCTGAAACCACTGTAACTTTGTAATGCACATGGATGACCTTGGCTGAGATTGATCCACAGCACCACATTCTGTATGAGCACAGTCACAATTTAAGCCCTGCACCCCACTTATCCTCATCCACATACATCAGCAATTTTTTTCAATAAATAAATGAGAAGATATTATGTGTTAAAAGAAAAATTAACAGTGTTATAGGCAGAAAGGGGTGAGAAAGGGCACATATAATATCTAGGAATGTGATGTCACTGATAACCTGTAAGGTCCATAATAAGAACTGTGAAGAATTCAATGAATATGAGTGAATTTTGATGGAAATCAGCAGACATAGGCAGGAGAAAGAGTAGGAGAACCATAAAAATTTATATTTAAAATAATAACAATGGCAGTATGTTTCACTGCTTTTATTAGTAACTTGATGATCAGTCTTAAAAGTCCTTTACTGATGCCTTTTGGGCTCTCTTTGTAATATAAATCATCATCCCAATTCATTCAATTATTAATTTTTAATGGTACCATTGACAAAATCCCTCTGGGTACATGTATGTAATTACAAAAATAGTGTACGATCATAAAATGAATAGAGGCTAAACTTAAAACTGAATAAAAGCAGGTCACCTACACATTAGTAAAGACCCTGATATTGAATAAGCTGAGCCATTATCAAACGTGGAACAGATGGCTTAAAACAAAGAGTGTATGAAGACTAGGATGTCCCCACGACAAAGTGTCCTTTATTAAGGAGAGAGGAACTCCAGAATGTAAGAAACTTTTCATGTGTTTAACCTTAGGGTATTACCCTTTTAAATTATATTTTATTCATTTAAAATTCAACTGTGGACATGTTCTTCTAATTTGTCTCAAAATTCCATGTGTGAAATATTGGAAGAGCAGCAAAGTTGATGTTTGGAATGTTAGACATGTTTGAGTTTATTGGGCAAAAATGTGCATTTTCTGAGACCATTGCTTTATATCAGTCATAATCTGGAGAAGTTTAGTACTTTAACATATGTGAATTATGTGCATCATTCAAAATCCATTTCACCTGGTATTTATTATGCGTTACTTACCCAGACTCTGGATTTAATCATTTAGATCATTGAATCAAAAAGGAGAATTTTTTTTTTTTTGCTTTTTAAGAACCGTTGTTTAATAATAATGGATGAATGGCTTTGTGGTCTTGGTTAAAGTGTTAGAAATGTTGAACTTTCTCTGTTATTTATGATTCTGGTATTTATGCTTATACTATTTATGATTTTATCTAATAAAGATATTTGTCGCACCTGAATTTTAATAGAGTAATATCATTATAATCTGATTGACTTTTCATTATTTTCATTATCTTTAAACGTCATCCAAATCTGGAATTGTATCTTCAAAAGCAGAAAAAGGCTGAGGTAACTAGATAAACAGAAGAAATTTGTAGTTGCTCTTAGGAGCTGACGCATTGATGGAGGGTTCTTGGCTTAGTTGTGTTTTTTATCTCTTTACCCTTTGGAGACAGGCCTCCTTAGGGCAGACACTATTGTAAGGAAAGGGCAAAGGTGGTCAAGGTCACGTAGTCTTAGTAAATATAGACTAATAGAATTTTGTGGATATTGCTTTTGTTAAATTTACTCAGCATTTGTATAGTTGTGAAAAAGGATATGCAATGTACTTTGAGCTATAAATATGCACATGACTGAAAATTCTTCCCACAAACCCCTTTTAGGTTATAGAAATAAAGATCTCTAGCATGAAACTTTATTTTCCTGTTCATTTAATAAATTATTTTCAAATATAGAAATTGTGAAATATATCCAAAACAGAAAGATCACTAGAAGGTTTTGTCATAAACATAAAATAGTGTCCAACATACGTATCACTAAAATGTAAGTGGGCTATATCCTCAATAGAATGGGCTTTTGATTCTCAAAATAATCCTACATTATTCATCATCTGCAGTCAAATGCTCTACCCCTGAGCTATGCCCCCACAGCTGGAGCGATAGCACAGCGGGTAGGGCGTTCGCCTTACAAGCGGCCAACATGGCCGACCCGAGTTCGATTCCTCCGCCCCTCTCGGAGAGCCCGGCAAGCTACCGAGAGTATTCGATATGCCAGACACAGTAACAACAAAGTCTCCAATGGAGACGTTACTGGGCCCGCTCGAGCAAATCGACGATCAACGGGAGGGCCTTTACCTTACCTTTATTCATCATATTGTTTAGTGATACATTAATATTGTCACTGTCACTGTCCTCCCGTTGTTCATTGATTGCTCAAGAGGGCCCAGTAACATCTCCATTTTGAGACTTGTTGTTACTGTGTTTAGCTTGCCGGGCTCTCTGAGAGGGGCAGAGGAATCGAACCTGGCTCAGCAGGGCTGGCTGCATGCAAGGCAAATGCCCTACCACTGTGCTATCGCTGACTCTGACTCCAATAAAGTATTAAAGATTCAATTTTACATTTGCATATAATACATATATTCCATACAGGAATATAAAACTAACTCCTTTATAATTAACTTGAATAGATCAAATTTTATTCTGTAATTTTTAAGTATAAAAATACGAATCTTTATCCTTAATCATTTAATAATCTTATGCTATAAAAACTGTGAGATTGACACTAGCCAACAAAATGTAATGAGTGATTCATTGATGATATAGATACATTGTTCCCAGGAAATTAAAATTTTATGGAAGTCAATAATTGCTGGGTGGACAAGAATAGTCATAAACATTTGAATATTATATAGTTAAAAATATAAAATGTTCCTTCTAAATATATATATAAATAAAAAAGAAAATATGAATGAAATATAGGAAATTGAGCTGAGCCATCTTTATCAAAAAATATATTTAAAACACTCTGCCTGAACATAAGTTTAAAAATATGGACAAATTATCATTCCCTTTTTTACAGCTTTATAATTTGGGGGCGAGAAGTATCCTACAGAAATCAGTATTTCTGTATGTGAAAAAGACTTTCAGGAAGACACATTCTAAATGTTCTAAGGGACGACATGGAACATACAAATAACTAAAATTCTAAACTACAATAATGTCTTGGATAAATTGGCTGGAATAATATAAAGAGATGGGTATGATTTTACTAGGCAGAAAGGACTATCGTTAAAGAGTAAAATCAACAATGTACTGATACAGTTTTAGTAATAGTTATGACCAGGGAAAACAACTCCAGCATGGTGAGAATTTAAAAGACTTGGGAAACTATGGTAAAGATATTTGATAGAGTAGAGAAGGAAAGTGAAGTTTATAGAATTCTTAGAAACCTGATATATTATCTTGATATAAACTTGGTGTAACTGTTGTAATAGAAGAAGTCAGAAATACAAGAGTCACTGCTCATAAAAATCAGATGGTGTGACATATACGATCAAAAAAAGACGGTAGGAAAGTGGCTCAAACTTCTTTCTGGCCCATGCTTGACATGCCATGAGGTCTTTTGTTTGAGGCCTTTTAATTCATTGCTGGGAACTGTCCAACCTATTGAGCCAGGCTAAGTAACTCTAGGAGCGGAGTACCAGCCTGTGAGCACTACTTAGAAGTCAGTATTTAAAAAATAATAAAAATATTATTAACCCCACTGTATTAATTTGGTCAGGTTGTCAAGCATTTGAAAAGTGGAGAAATATGCAAGGAACCGACTAAGTATAAAGATAAATATGTTTGGTCAATTACTTGAGTTGTACTGAAAATTTTTAAAAAATTGTAGACTGGAAAGATAGTACAGCAGTTAAGTCATTTGTCTTGCATGTGATACCAAATATGACACCAGAACAGTTCCAGGAGTGATTCCTGAGCATTGAGCTAGAATGTAGTCCTAAGCACAACCAAGCTTGCCCTATAAACAAACAAAACCAACAGCAACAAACAGACAAAATATTTTTGTTTGAATAGCCAGTATTTTTTTAAAAAAAATTCATCTCTAAAAACAAAATAACTGGTCCACTTAATATCTGAATAAATGAGTTGAGTGGTGGTGAGTTAAAACCAACCAGAATATACTTAATAATTAATTTATTAATATATTTGTTGTACAAGGGCCATGATGATCTTCTCTGTATTATTTCAATTATACTATATGTGCTGCAGAAGTGAGCACATATACTAAAATTGGAACAATAGCAAAGCAGATAGGGCGTTTGCCTTGCAAATGGATGACCCAGGTTCAATTACTCCATTCCTTTCAGAAAGCCCGGGAAACCTCCAAGATCCTGGGAGCCTGGCAAGCTCCCCTTGGCGTATTTCGATATGCCAAAAATAGTAACAACTGTCACAATGGAGATGTTACTGGTGCCTGCTCGAGCAAACTGATGAAAAACGGGAGGACAGTGATACAATATTTCTATTAATATATTAATTTACAAGTTGCCAAGTAAAAAAAAAACTGTAAACTCTCAATTAGAACACTATTTCTCAAACAAGGATTAGATAACCCTTGTTGGGCCCTCTGGATATTCCACCAAGATTGCTGGAATGGCTAAAGAAACTATGGTACATCTACACAATGGAACATTATGCAACTATTAAGACAAATGAAGTCATGAAATTTGCTTTTAAATAGATGGACATGGAGAGTATCATGCTGAGTGAAATGAATTCGGAAAGAGAGAGGCATAGAATAATTGCATTAATTTGTGGGGCTGGAGCAATAGCACAGCGGGTAGGGCGTCTGCCTTGCACGCAGCCAACATGGCCGACCCGAGTTCGATTCCTCCGCCCCTCTCGGAGAGCCCGGCAAGCTACCGAGAGTATTCGATATGCCAGACACAGTAACAACAAAGTCTCCAATGGAGACGTTACTGGGCCCGCTCGAGCAAATCGACGATCAACGGGAGGGCCTTTACCTTACCTTTACCTTGTGGAATAGAAAAAAGTCATAGTAGAAGACTAATACCTACGAACAATAGAAGCAAGTGCTATGAGGATTATTGCATAGATTGAAGCTAGCCTTAAGTGCTGGAGGAGAAGTCATTTGGCACAGAAAAGGGGTAATTATGAAAATAATAGTTAGAAATGATCACTCCGGATAACAACTTCATGTTGAAAGTAGGTAAAGGACCAAACATGGTAACCTCCTAATATCTGTATTGCAAATCATAATTCCCAAAAGGAGAGGGTGGGATGGAGGGAGGAAGGGAGGGAAGAAGAAAGAGAGAAAGGAAGAGATACACAGGCAGACAGAGACAGAGAGAGAAGGAGGAGGGAAGAAAGAGAGGAGGAAGAGGAAGTAGAGGAAGTGGGAGAGAAGGAGAAGGAGGAGAAGGAGGGGGAGGAGGAAGAGGAGGAGGAGGAGGAGGAAGAGGAGGAGGAGGAGGAAGAGGAGGAGGAGGAGGAGGAGGAAGGAGAAGAGAAAAATGCTTGCCATAGAGGTAAGCTGGGGTGATGGTTGGAGGGATACTGGGAATACTGATGGTTGGAAATGTACACTGGTGGAGAAATAGATGATGGGACATTATATGACTGAACGGTTTTGCACATGGTGACTCAAAAAAAACTGAAAAAGAAAAGAAAAGAAAATTACATAAATGGGTGAATGAGACAAGGAGATTGACTAGAGAATGGGGCACAGGTCAGATGGGTTCATGGCCAGAGTAAAGTTTGAAAAATTGATTTTTACAATTTCAGATTTGGGGGCTTAAAATATGTGGTTTGTTCCTGGGAATATATCCCAGAGAGACAAAAATGTATAGTCGAAGTGACATCTGCACTTGTTTGTTCATTGCAGCACTCTTTACAATAGCCAGAAACTGGAAGAAACCTGAGTGCCCAAGAACAGATGACTGGTTAAAGAAACTTTAACAGATGTCTGGTTAAAGAAACTACACAATGGAGTACTATGTAGCTGTTAGAAAAGTTGAAGTCATGAAATTTACATACAAGTGGTACAACATGGAAAGTATCATGCTAAGTGAAATGAGTCAGAAAGAGAGGGATAGACATAGAAAGATTGCATTCATCTGGGGGACATAAAGTAACAAAATAGGAGATTAATACCCAAGAATAGCCGAGATCAGCACCAGGAGGATTACTCCATAGCTTAGAGGCCAGCCGGGCATTCTAGGAGAAAAGGCAGCTCAGATAGAGAAGGGAGCACCAATTAAAGGGTGATTGGAGGATCCTCCCAGGAGGGGAGATGCATGTTGAAAGTAGACTATGGACTGAACATGTTTGCCACTCAATGCCTCTTTTGCAGACCACAACACCCAAAAGAAGAGAGAGAACAAAAGGGAATGCCCTGCCACAAAGGCAGGGTGGGATGGGGGGGTGGGGGGGATATTATCCATGGTGGTAGAAAATGGGCACTGGTGGAGGGATGGGTATTTGATCATTGTATAATCGAAACACAAGCACAAAAAATTGTAAATCTACAACTGTACCTCATGGTGCTTCACTAATAAAAAAAAATGTGGTTTGTGTACCTATGGACCAAAGGGGGGAAAAAATAAGAACACTGCAGTGGTAATTCTGGTGAATAGAATTAAAGAAGACCGATTGAAATGTTGCAGTTCTATTTTTGAGGATCTATTAATATTGCATTAAATATTAAAGAAGACTGGAAGATGTTCAGGTACTGATGTTGACAGTAACACAGTGGGAAAGAAAAAATGGTGTACCTGTGGCCCCTAATACCAAATGAGAACAGGATGGCACATTCAGAGTGACCCAGGAGGTGCACACAGCAAAGCAAAAAGGAAAAGGCATTAATTTGAGAGAGCAGTCCTGTATTATTTAATGTCAATTCTATGTGATCATGTTTTCTTCTGTAATTTAGTCCATATCTATATTGTGAATTAACTTTTTAAGCACACATAGTCTGTACCTGGAAAGATACATATGCTACGATAAATGCAGACATAGGACCTTTTATGAAATGTATTATTTTACCTCAGTGACTATAGTTTCTCTAGAAAAGCAAATTAGCCATGACTCTAATTACAAAATTAGAGTAAGAGAATTGGGGCAAAATGATGTTGAAATATAAGAACAATATATTGAAAGATCATACTTCCTGGTAAATTGTAGCCTTCATTTCCAAAGGAGTGAGATTAAAAATCACAAAACTCTGGAAAACACAGTTAATTTCTCCCACAGATTCATCAGAAAACTACAGAATACATTTATCATCAAGGAAAGCACTGTTGTATAAAAAATGTACAAAGGCTTTTTGCTAAGATGTTAGATCATCCACCAATCAAAACAGTTATGCATTTTGTTGATATCTTACTGGAATAGTATAATGCTGCATGTTTAACCCGGATTATGAGGCTCCATGCCAAAGTTTGTAGCTTTGATTGCAAGGTGCAAGTTTAAGTAGCTCCTTACTGATTAATGTCTAATACATCGTAATTCACTGACTAATAGGGTAAACAACTACATTTCTTAATTAGACAAATTTAAATATATATTTTTTGTTTTATTTTATTACTATTGAATTTCAAGACTAAGGTAAAAATACATAGTATAATAAAATTCATCACACTGAAAAAAGTTCGGTTAACATAAAAAAGTTTAATATGAGGCAAGCGTGATACAGTTCTTTATTCTTGTTGCCAAACCACCATAATGAAAGAAATTAAAACTTAGTTGTGAAAGTTAGGCTTATAATAAATAACATTTCTCTGTATAACAAATCAATTCATATGAAATAAATTACTAATATGTACATATATTTTCTTTTAGCAGGTGCATTATAAATCACTGTAAAACCCAACTGACTTGGCATTAAAACTAAGCTTGCATATACTTTTCTTTTTTTTATAATTTTAATGGAATTATTCAACTTTTGCCAATAGTTTTTACTACTCTACCCCCATTGAACAAGGAATGTGGAAGGTTTTAACAATTTTTTTAATGACTTATAATCATCTAAATTGTTTTTCTCAAAAATAAATACTTGTGGTCTTATAGTTGGGAAGGATAAAATGAATATAATTTTAGTACTTGAATCAGACTTGTATCGGGATTGTTATTGTAATAATACCAGGGACTGAAAAGATAGCACAGTGGGCTGGGTGCACAGGAATGGGGGTGAACCTGGATAAACCCAGGTTCAATCCTTGGCCGTACATAAGGTCCTCCAAGCCCCACCAGTAAAGATTCTCAGCATAGAGCAAAGAGTAAAACTGGATTACCAGTGGATGTGATTCCCCAAACAAAAGTACTGATTCGTATTTCATTTCTTATCTGATAACTCCTCTGAATTATACTTCTAATGTGAATTAAACATTTAATATAAAATTTAAAAATTTTATATTATCACTGACAGTTTAATTTTTCCTCGAATTAATTCATACCCGGACGTTAGAATTTATCCTCCTTTTAAAGAACTGCTGCACGTTTGAGTTCAAGGGGATCATTGACTACATTTTCCACTCGAAGTCTCAGCTGAAGACCCTGGGCGTGCTGGGCCCCCTGGACCACCACTGGCTCGTGGAGAACAACGTGGCTGGCTGCCCGCACCCACTCATGCCCTCCGACCACTTCTCTCTGTTTGTCCAGCTCGAGCTAGCTGGCGCTGCCTTTTCTGCCACCAGTGAATGGCTTCCACCTCCCGGGCAGGAGCTAGTCCTGGCACCCGCCTCCCGGGCAGGGTTTTCAGCACTTACCTCCCGGGCAGGGCGTGGTTATCCCAGCACTCATATCCCAGGCAGGGGGCTGTTATCCCAGCACTCACCTCCAGGGCAGGAGGCTGTTCCTTTTCCCTTCAGAAAGTGCCCTGCTGTCTTCATTGGAAAACTTATCAAAAACTGAAGTTAAGGGGAGTGAGGTATCAGAGAGAGGGAGAGAGAGGTGTTTTTTTTTTTTTTGTCTTAGTGATTTAAATTTTCCATCTGATTTTTGGACCCAGGCTGGAGAGATAGCACAGTGGGTAGGGCGTTTGCCTTGCACGCAGCCGACCAGGCTGACCAAGTTCAATTCCTTCGGCCCTCTAGGAGAGCCCCGCAAGCTACCAAGAGTATCTAGCCCGCTGGGCAAAGCCTGGCAAGCTACTCGTGCCACATATTCGATATGCCTTAGCAGTAACAATAAGTCTTACAATGGAGATGTTTGATGAACAACAGGAGGACAGTGCTGCAGTGCTTAAAGAACTGCTAGTTA